AGAGATCCAGTCAAAGGTAGGATTAAGTTTTGGATAGGTTTTGTCAGAGGTAAAGTTAGGTGTAGCAGGAGTTTTAGGATTGTAAAATAATAAGATTGTTGAATAGGAGGGTTGGTTTTGGGTTTGAGTAATATAGTTAGTTTGAACACTGGTTCAGAAGTAGGAGCTCTTATAGATATAAAGTTACTTGGCTTATGTGATGACTTGGTGATTACATATAGTTCTTCATTCGGTTTTCTTGCAGCAGGATGGTCGCAAAAAGCGTCACGTCAAAGAGGACCATTTGTTGTAATGCCTATAAGAGATTCAGATGATGATTTATGGCTTGTAGATAAAGTTTGGATTTGGGGTGCTATATCAAGTGAGCCGTGTATGTATTTAAGCAAGGAGCTAATGGAATATGAAGATGAAGAAACTGTTACAGTTTTTAAAACTAATCCGTTATGGATGCATTATAGTCAGTGTCATTGGTATGCATAGATAGTTTAATATTAAATTTTTCATGTTTCTTACTGAGGAATGTCAAGATTCTGCTTTTTTTTATTAATAAAATAAGGATTTCATTAAAAAGAGCCGAGAGTTTTATTTATAAGAATTTGATTAGGTTTAATCAGGTATAAGTTATTAAGGCAATCACTGGGCGGGTTGATAAAAACGGGATCATTTAAATTAAATATTATGTACTATTTATTCCCCGAAAAAACGAGAATAAGGGTAAATTTCCGTAGTTATGCCACTAATTTCAATTAACTGTCCAGCTGTTCTTCTTAAGGCCGACATAAATTATGATGAGTAAACACGTAGCAATTTGTAAAACTTTGGTTAAACTAAATTAATTATTAACGATAGAAATTTCGAATTAAATTATGTAAATATTCCGATCTTTACGTAGTTAAAGTGAAATATATAAAGAACGATTTGTTCATATTTTTATTTATCCTTTTTTTACTATATTATATGAGAATTCTTTTATCTAACATAAAAGTGTACAAATCGAATGTTTAACAAACCTGCTGACTTTCAAAGGAAAAAAAAAACAAGTTTATAAAATGACAATAAATTTTGAATTTTTAATAAAGTTGAATATCACAAAGTTGTTTTTACGTAAAATTTAATGTAGCTTTGCAAATTTATATAGCTATTTATATAAATCTATATATATTTCTACGTAGAATTATGTAAAATGATAAAATTTTTTATCTTAACTACGTATTAAAGCTAGAATTAGACTTTAAAGCTTAAGTTAGGGGTTTGTTGAACATTTTTACTTAGTATATCGAACACTGATTACCTTAGTCATTTTTAAATAATTATATATATATAATAGTAAATATAAATAAAATTTATATAATTTATATAATTTTTATATTTTACAGAAACGAGAGATAACTCTTTCCCGTAAATCCCTAGTACAAAAATTCTTAAAATTTCTAAAATACAAAAATGCAATTTGCATTTAATTTTATTAAGTAACCATACTATTTAGCTCTAAATAAAATTGTCACTCACACAATTTTACATATATTATTT